TCAATAGGTACAAGCTTGTTTCAGCATTATTAAAAGTCTGCTTATGCGCTATTATAACCTCATTACTACATTAATGCTGTTGGTAACAGAATTGTGGAGCTATAGCCATGACCCAATCTTGCTCACAATGGGCAGTTGCAGAAACGCTTTATTTTGTTCATTAAAATACCTCACTTTACATTAAAAAAAAAAAAAATTTTTTTTTGTGATAAACGAAAATTATATGAAATGATCCAAAAATATAAAAAAAATTCTTGAACAAACGCTGTAAAAAAACGGAAAGAGGAATTAATATTTATGTATTAAGTTTCTTGATGATTCAAAATTTAGCGATTTAATATTATTAACTGAACTAATGATTATCAAATCTAATAAATAAAAAAAGGAAATTTTTACAAGTGAGTTGCGTAATAAACGGCTGTTGTAAACAACTGTTGTTGATATTGTAGTATATGAAATATATTTTGTTTGCAATTGAAATTAAAAAAAATTAAATAAATATGGTTCAGGAATAAAATATTGTTTTGGAAAGGCAAAAATCAGTCCCCGGCGGAAGAGATGCATCCCTAATGATAATAAAATATAAATTGTCGCACAGTAAAAATTCACTGCTTTAAAATTGCAAGTCGTTAATCAACACATCAAACCATACATTAAAATACAGTAGAAGATCTTTATAATACAAATCTTGAGGTTTTGTGTGTTATAGAATTCTGTGTTACACAGATCAGCTTACCAATTTTTAAATTTACACATGACATGCACAATTTACATATTAATTAGTCTGCAATTAATCAAGCTTAAAATACTTTTAAAGAGTTATTAAGCTAAAATCGTTCTTGTTTAGTTACAGAAATTCTTAAACTGCGATTTTCATTGTTAACACCAAGTTAATATGGTTAATGAAGAATTGCAGTATATAGAATAGCAGCACTTAGATTTTCTACTGCATAATTTTAACATAACATAAACAAAACAATGAAATTCAAACATGTTCTTAGAAATTTGAATTCTGTACTACATTTAGTTTCACCGGAACAAGATAACATTTTACATACAAAAACCGAACAATAAATCTTAGAATCTAAACTCTCAAAAGTAACAAATAACAATAATTAATTTGTTCTTGATTAATTGTTCCATTAAGCTAAACTAATAACTTAATTACACATATGATATTCGAAGCTGTTAAAAGTGTATGATTTAAACTGTTAATTTGTATTATAACAGTTTCAATCATTGTTGCAATAATGTTCAAGGCTGGAAATAATTGGTTTGTGATTTTAAACTTAACAGGAAAGTATAATTTAAACAATTTCTATTGCAAAGGACAAAATTTAACTACCAAATATAGAACAAAGAAAGGTATAGCTGCTTACTTTGAAAAAAAATATTAAAAATAAATAAATTATAGTAGAATTTTCCGAAATTATAATTTTTATTTCTTTATTATAATTTTTTTAGTGAAACATGTAGAAAACTTTTAGAGATTTGTGAATAGAAGAACAGGATAATTTTCATTCATTATACTATAATTAAGTAGTAGCAACTAACTTGAGATAACTTGTAAACATTACAAATGGAATAATTTAACAAGAAAACAGGTATTTTTAGATAAATAGTGAAATAGAAAATTGTAGATAAAAAAAGAATTTATAGAAATTTTTTCGATATTTAAAATGAGAAATTTTATGGTAGGGTTGTCATTTTCAGTAAGGTAAGGTTCATTTGATAACTTGAAGAAATATTTATAAAATCTGTATCCAATCATTCTATATCCTATTAATTACAAACCATAAAAAAAAAAAAAGAGTTCATATATCAAAACTGCCAAAATTAATAAAATGGTAATACAAAATATTAAATGAATATTTTTTTCTGTTACCTACCACATTAGCAATAAAAAAGGATTCTGCATTGACCTCAGATCCAAATATAAATTTAAATTAATATATGAATTACGGTAGACAGATTTAGGAAATGAATTTATATCTTATTTTAAGGATATTTTTTTCTCTGAACATGCCTACGGAAAATGATTTAGAATCTACTCAATATTTATGTACATTTTTGACAACAATCTGATTACCTATTTACAAAAAGATTTCACATACATTATTTGTTATTCTTATGAACCTTAATTTTGACTAGATTTAAAACTATTTGAATTTTTTTTTATTCATCAGCTGCATCAACTTTATTTCTAGGCAAAATTTTTCGGGTTTTAATTTGTGTGAATGTGACCCGCCCTATAAACGGGTCTGTGACGTGGGCGATGCTACTCCACCGCCGTGGCTTTGCACTGGTGCCCACTGGGTAACGAGAAGAGAGTAGCAGTTCTGGCCAATGGGACAATACATCCCAAGTGCCCGTCATTAAAAAAAAATTTTTTTTGTGTATAAATAGTTAATTTTATTAATTCTTTTTTATTGTAAGTATGAATGTTTACAAAACGAAATAATTATAGGTTTATTTAATTGTAGCCAAATTAGTCAATAACATTTAAATGGTAGCAACTTAATGATGTATATTGTAGAAATTATAAACATCTCTTATGAAAGACATACGTTAGTAAAACAGTCTAAAGCACATAAGCTGACAATACAAATTTTAGAACCTTTTTAACCATTAAGATAGCATCTTCAAGCTATTCAGGGTAATTTTTCTTCTATTTTCTTATACAAACTATACAATTGTTTTTAACAAGCTACACAATGTTTGTAACATTAATCTCAAAGTGAAAGTAGTGTATATTATGAAAATAATTCAACTCCTTTTTGATTTAGTGTCTATTTATGATTACAGCACAAATTGTATTATTGCAGTGACTAGACGGTACTCTTTATTTAACATCTCTTAAACATCATTTCACTGATGATGGATGAGCTTTTCTGGTCTCTCAAGCAAGCCCATGTACCAAATGTTCAATCTGTAGTTGCATTCATAATGATATCCTATCATAGCAACTTCTTTGATATGTAAAAAATTACTATCTCATTAAAATGTAAATTTTACTCCAATTAAATAATACTAACATTAAGTAGATATAATTAGTTTCATATTCAAGAGATTCAAGGTGATATATTTTTTTTAAAATTTATTTTTATTGCATCAGTAACAAATAAAAAAGTACTTTGTACTTTAAAAAAAGTTATGTATACAAATTTATTTTTAAGCTGCAATGGTTTTTGGAATATTTCAATTTAATTCAAAAATGAATTATCTCTTTTAAGGTGTGGATAAACAAACCTTTAAAGAATTTAAATGTTTTGTATTCAAATTATTGTAAAAAAAAAAAACTAAAAGAATTTAAATGTTTTGTATTCAAATTATTGTAAAAAAAAAACTAAGTACTTATAGTGAAAAAATTTTCAGTGTGCAGTTTTTTTTTTCCAGACTAGCTAAACAGTGATTTTCGGTGCGATCTGTGAATTATAGAATAAAGGGGTCAACTTTATTCTTCATCCTCAATCTAGAGCAGTGTTTCCCAACGTGGGGCCCACGCCCCACTGGGGGAGGGGGCAATTTGATTGTAAAGGGGGGAAAATTCGAAAATTGACTCGACAAGAATTGACTTTTTGCTCCGGTCCATTTAAATGCATTGCTAGATTTCTGTGCCAAAATTGAAAGAAAAAAGCAAATTCTTAAATAATTGAGGCCAATAAATATTATGTGACATCGGTATTTTTAGGCAACAAACCTGAAATTATTTAGCCGGTATCTTTGAGAAACTAAATATATTAAATAAGCAACTTCAAGGAACAAATGAAACTCTATTTGATACAAAAGTGAAGATATTTGGTTTCATTACCCTTATTGAGTTATGTCAGAAATATATTAACAACGAAAACTTTAAACAGTTTCATTGGCTCCAAAAATGTGAAGTAAATGATACCGCTTTACTTATTATTGTCGATCATCTAAAAGTTCTTTCGGCTGATTTACAAGAAACATTTTCTGATATAAAACAAATTGAGTTTCCAACACGGATGATGCAGTCAATGTTAGTGGATTTGTCTGATACATTAAATATGTAGTATCAAGAAGAACTCGTAGAAATGCAAAATGATGAGTTATTTAAAAATTTTATTTAATATAAAAGGAGTGATGGCATGGCTTTGTGAGGAAACAGAAATTATTCGAATCTTAAAATTATTTCGAATTTTAGTTTTTCATTATATGTTTTGAAAATTTAACTACTGTGTTTCGTTAACAATTTCCTAAGGATTTTTTCCCAAAACCTATCATTTAAATTTCTTAAGATAACAATTAAATTTTTTAATATAAAAAATTATGTACATGTTACATAGCGGAGCATAAGAATTTTAGAAAGGCTTAGGTGGGGCATGGCACTAGGCTGGGAAACACTGATCTAGAGGATGATGCCTTTACTATAGGATTCCTAAAGGCAAGGTGTCTGGCTATACCCCCAGAGAACGGGTACTCATTTTAGTCGCCTCTTACGACATGCATGAGCTACAATGACACAATTCTACCCCGGATGCCATGCGGGTGACCTGATTACTGAAATTAAGTTACGAAATTTCTCTGAACATTACCTATCATATTTCAAAACAAAGTTTAATATTCCAGAACAAAATTATTTGACTAATCAATACTTTACTAATAAACAATTTAACTAATCAAACTTTTTTAATTAATCAATAAAATGAAGATAACTTAAAATTTTAATTACTTTCATATTTCATAAATTCACTTTATATTTTTTAATTTAGCAAGCACAGAAATTAAAAAATTTACAATCTTATAAATAATTTACAAATAAATCTTATAAATAATTTACAAACAAAATAATTTACAATCTTATCTACAAATAATTAAAAAAAAAAAGTTTATGAATATTATAAACAAATTGCAAGTACAAACCTTCATAAAAAGTCACTTAAAAAAATCATATATAAAGAGCAAGATATTAAACATATATTATGATTAAACATTATGTTCATGGAACATAATCTTTATAACTAATAAAGCAAAACCTCATATTGGCATCCATATCCTCAACAAAAATTCCTCTCCTGTTTCACTTTGTTGAGCTCATCTTTCCAAAATTCCTTTCCTGCAAAAATTTTATGAACTTAGTTGCTGCATAAAGAAAGCATTAACAAACTGCCAGAATGCAGAAAAACATTAAGACAAAAAATTCTAGATATTTAAAAAATTCCATTTCATTTTTAAATTTTATATGCAAATAGGAGATTTTATATGCAAGATAAATAGGAAATAGTTGTAAAAAACTCAAGTTTTCTTTTCTGCAGAATTTTTCAAAAGATGTTTTTTTTTCTTCACCAGAATAATATTCAAAGGATGCTTCTCTGGTGCATAATAGAGATAAGAAGTGTTCATGATTTTTCAAAGACTCTTGTTTCGCTACAATTATGTATATTCAAAAGATTAAGAGAAAGAAATGCTTGCGATTTTTCTATTATAATATAAATTTTTTTTATAATGACTGACTTCAGTTATAATTTTAATTAGATTGATACATATACATAAATCCAAAATCTCAAAAGTTAATAAGATAGTTTGCTCAAAAATATTTTTAATCACTTTTAAAAAATAAAATTATAATTACGATCTGTGCAGTAATAAAAAATATTTTTTTCTATCGCTTAAAGTTTCTAATTTATGAAGATGAAATCAATGAAATTCACAAACATTTTCATAAACTTCACATAATCATGATAAAATAACTAGTTTCTGATAAATATTACAGAGAAAATTGCGCATCTCTAGTAATTTAAAATGACAATCGACACGGCAAAGAAGCAATTTCTTTTCAAAAGATTAAAAATTAAGCACTTTTTACAAACCCCAAATAAAAAAAAAGGACTTTTAATATGTAATTTAAGGGCTTTTAAATATGTACAACAAAAATAAGTACCTTTAAACACTATTTAAAAATGTGCCCTACATTACGTTCTTTCCATAATTTTTTTTTTATTTAAAAAATACCATACCATTACATAGATATTGAATATCATTTAACCACCCATACATAGCATACCATTTCAATAAAATTTGAGTGGGAATTTTGTTACACATACAGATTTGTAGCAATCCGATTATTCAATAGGGTACATTGTCCCTCTTTTTTCTTAATTTGATTGAAATAAAATCTATCTAATATACATACAGGAAAATTTTAAATCACACATTTTAGTCTTCACCTTATCACTCACCATTTCTGCAAGACTCAATTGGCAAAATATGTAGTGTTATTATAATTTTTTCGGCAATTATTGCTTCAAATACTTACTTGTTTTTTTAAAAATCCAGATGTGTTTCATCGCTCAGTTATTATTAATATTTTTCGTGATTTTTAAGAAATACCAATATTGCTATAGTACACAAAATTTCAAATCGCAGATACCAGAAATTACTCTCCTTGGCTTGTGCCAATTCCTTCTTAATCTATGTGGTGTTTTAATTATTCATTTGACAGTCATTGCTACAAATATTTATAAAATAAAAATCATGATTTTTTTACTGTCTGTTGACTGTTGTTAATTTCAGGGGTGATTGCGAGCCCAAGTCAAAATTCCGGAAAATTTCTTGAGTTAAAAAAAAAAAGAAGTTTAAATTGAAAAAAATTTAAACAAGGTTTCTTTCCTTTTTCTCAATATTTCTTAGTTTACTTAAAATATATTTAAAATTCTACACAATTACCATTTACACATACCTAAGATGACCTGAAGAAGTAATTAAAATTAACAAATATGTCTTTCTTTCTTGAGTTTATGATTATAACAACTATTTACTGATAAAAAATGAATATTAATCATGAATATAAGCTTATAAAGCATCTCACTGACTCTCCCTTACAAACGAATAAAATAAACTGTGTTTTTTAAGTTCCACCTTTGAAAATTTGATTTCCGGAAACTTCTGCGATCACTGATTGTTTGAAACGTCTGGACCTTCGATCTCCGGAAACTTCCGGATCACTGTTAGCGAAAATTCCGGAAATCCGGATTTTTTCCGGAGCACAATCAGCCCTGTAATTTACGTCGCACTAGAGCTGCACAATGGGCTATTGGCGACGGTCTGGGAAACATCCGGGAGGCTGATCCGAAGACATGCCATCACAATTTTGATCCTCTGCGGAGGGGATGGTACCCCCGCTTTGGTAGCCCGACGACCTGCGCGCGAAGTCGAGCCATGATTTTTTTTAAACAAGGTTCGCTTATGTAATTATTTACTTTTAATGTGATGATTTCACTTTTTTGACATTTTTACTGCTAATACAACAGATTTTCATGGGATTTTTAAAATTATCGTAATTTTTCAGTTGCAATTAATTCTACACGTAAATTTTAATTGCACGTGATAAAAAGATTACTTTATATACTAGCTCAATTAATGACAATAGCATAAATCCATTTAGTATTTTGATTAATTTTGGGCAGTTATTGAGATAGAGTTTCAAGTGGTTTTAAAAATATCTTAATACATTTTTGACAATATAGAAATTTCAATTGCTTTTTTGAATATTTAATTTTTAATGCCTTGATTGTCCCAATTTTATGGCAATTATTGCTACTGATTTTCACATAGTTTTTAAAATCTGATATTTTTAATAAATTATTATTTTTTACAACAAACAAATAGCAAAATGAAACATACATTCTTTTTGAAGAGTCTGATTCACATGATTTCGCAATTGAATTTAGGTTGTCACTATTAGAGTTCTCACGATTTTCAATTATATTTTTAATATGTATGACTATGTAAATGAGAAGAAAAAAAATTAGTGTGTTTTTCCGCAACAAAATGTGAGAATGTTACAATTTATACCAGACAATAAAACTTAAATTACCAAGATCCAATGTTACTCTTCAATAAAATTCCCATTCATTATTTGCTTAAGTTGTTACCATATTTAAGCTATGACAACAATCCTTGTTGACTCTACTTTCATCAGACATTTTTTCTATACCTGCCCTGTAAATTAAAAAGCATAGTAAAATTTATACGATACAACATAAAATGAAAAGTAAACTATTCTTTTTAAAATACATAAAAATACTCAATATTTAATTAAGTGATTCCGGGCATTCAAAAGCAGGTACACTAAATGATTTAAGCAGTTTGAAAAAAAATTGAATTAACATTTAGAAGTCAATATTTTAGAATTTCTATGAAGAATGATATTTTGGAAGTCAAAATGTAAACTACTGTTTCGAAAAAGAAATATTTAAACCTAATAAAATACATATATCAGGGGTCTGTTCAGACATTTTGTGAAGGGTCCTGTTTTTGTAAAACTGTGGAAAAAACTATTCATAATTTGTGAACTTAAAATAAGCATTCTTTCAACCAGGATCTTGCTTTTGTGAATTTGTACAAATAGGTCCTGTTATTGCAAAAAACTTATTCAATTAGTTTTAAAATTGTAAATAGATAATGATTCTGCTCAACAATTGCTGCTATTAAATTAGAGATGCAACATTCAAATATTTGGTATTTAGCCTGTACAGCTCAACACAGAATATTCATTTTGGACAAATGATGGAAACAAAATCACTCACATTTTTAATAATTTCAATTTACATATTTTAAATAACACAACTTAGTAATGTATCACTTTTAATGTGTCGCGCATTAAGTAAACTGAAACATTTTTTAAATTTATAATAATTTATTTAAAAAAGTGCCAGAAATTAATTTTTCTTTACATAATATTTTATTATTTAATTTTATGAATAAATATAAATTTATCAATTATTTATTTACAAAAAAAAATTATGAGTTAATATTAATAAGAATGTGCACATCATCATGTTTTTAAAAGTAGAAATATTTTCTTCGATTAACAAAACAATAATGAAGATAAACAAATTTTAGAAGGGTCCTTTAACGGACCCAAATTTTTTCTAAACAGATCCCTGTAATCAAGGAAGCAGTTTTCAACATAATTCTTCACCCTGGGCTTACAGAACCAGTGTATGGTTTTGCATAGAAACAAGATAACTTCAACATATCCAAGAACTCCGGTATAGTTACCATATTAGCTGGACATAGCAGTGATAGTTTGCATACATTGAAATGTATTTCAATACAGGAAAAGATTTTAGTTTCTTTATAGGTTGGAAATTTTTAAAACAAAATAAAAACTATTAATTACAAAAAAAATTAAGATTAATACAGCAAGAAATTATAATTTTCAAAAAAAGTTTTAAGTTTATACGGTTTAAAATATGGGAAATTAAAAGAAATGGTACACAGGTTCCAGTAATCGACAAATTCTATCTCTGACAATGCTTATACTTAACACTTAAACAGTCAGTCAATATACAAAATTTCAGCACGGGCGTTAAACCAAGACTTCAGCCATTCTTAGGTCACAACTAAAGATAAAAATGTGTAATCTATGTTAATCAGCATGCGGACATAATTTCAAAAATAAATTAAAGAAAAACAAAAGCTACATCTTACTAAAACAAACTCAATTAAACCACTTCCTGCTGATGGTTGGACTGTAAGCTGTTGCATGTACATTAATATCAGCATGGTATTTTCTAGGAAGCAGTGTTGTAATTATTATAAAGGGGATATTATAAAATGTCAAAATGTTTTTTCAGGAAAATTCATAAGTTAAAACTAGTGTTGGTATGTCATTCACGCTGTTCTTAATATTTGACATTTTAATGTTTTCCGCAAAATGAGATAATATATTTTGCCCATAATTGCATCAAAATGATAGACAGCGAAGAATGATATTAATTTAAAGAACTTTTACAATGGTAAATTATTTATAACCTCTTGTAGCATTAGTGTTATCACACTAGATGTTTCAACTGCTTTAAATTTTAACGTCATTAAACTAATTACAATAAGTTATTAAATGGAGAATACTTACTAGTCCTAACATTAGAATAAATTATTGTCTTGATTTATAATGTAGACCAGTTCTTAGATCTAAATAAATAGAAAAGAAGATATAAAGTAAATTTTATATTCAACTAACAATAACATAATTAAACATTACAAAATATATAAAAACTATTTTAAATAATACAATATACATTTTTGAGGATCAAACCAAAAATCTTCTCCAAAATATATTTCTAAATACATTTCAAATTCTTTATCTACAGGCAGCAACACGTCAGGTGTTATAAGTTTCGGTTTATAAGAGGGAAAAATACCGCTTTTGTTAAACTGATGCCAAAAGTTAAAATTATCCAGACAATTTTTCCCAGAGGATTCAGCGAAAAATAGCCCATTAGGCTACCGTAGTCTTTTAATTTCCATGTTTTATTCAATTCGATTTGAAGTGAATACAAAATTGGAAACTGAAACTTAAACTTTCGTTAAAACCGTTTACATCATCAGTTCGTTTAAATTTAGGATAATTATTTTTTTTGTCATATTTGGGCTGCTCTGGCAAGGTGAGTGATTTACTTTTGTTTACATGCATATTTTTTATTAACAAAATTTAAAACTCTTACGCCTCTTTGCTTACATTTACTTGTCTGTCGTTCTTAAATATCTTATTAACAGAAAACTTTTATACATGTACAGTACATAAAAGGGAGTACTTATAACACAGGGATGAGATTCTTTCGCGGATTTCCGCTTTTTCTCTGATTTTTCCGCTGAAATTGTTATTTGCACAAGTTAAAATATTTTATGAGGAATTTAATTTTCCGCGGAGCGAAATTATTGAAGTCCTCATTCCTTCATCTGAAGTTTCTCTAAAAATCATTTCCTTGGGATAAAACTGGTTGACCTTTATACAGGATGAGATTTTTTTCGCTTTTGTCTCTCGAATTTCAGCCTTTTTATCAAAAACTCAGATTATCTAAAAGTTTCTTTTTTTTTTATTTATTTATAAATATCCCCTTTTTTTAAAAAAAAAAATTCAGTCGTTGAAGTCAAATAATTATATTTATTTACGATTTTCAACGAAAAACAGAAAATTCAAACTACGTCCTAGCTGCTAACCCTTCCGCAATGTTTACTTATATTAGCTATTTTCTCCGATTTCACGCACAGAAAATAAGATTTTCCGTATTTTTTATCCGTCAGCGGGATAGCTCGTATTTTCGTAATTTAGACGTCGCTGCTTCTTGTATTCTGGAGTAAAAGCAAACAAAAAAAGCGAAAAAAAAATAGAGGTGAAATTACGGTGAAAATATTTATTTGCTCATTCAATTAATCTTGTAAATTTTTATTTATTGTGTAAACAAAAAATAATTCAAACAAGCTTTTTAGAAATTCCAGGTCCAGACTCTGCAAATATCTCGATTTTTATTCACGCGATTATCAATCATCGATTTTCGTATTTACCTGAATTAAAAGTTGCGCATTGCAGTTCTGACTTACGCTTTTTAAATATCGTACATTATGACTCGTATTTACGAGATTTAAAAATCTAATATCGTGTTTTGAATTTTTAAAATCGCGATTTTATTATCAATCATCGATTTTCGTATTTACCTGATTTAAAAGTTGAACGTTGCGATTCTTATTCAGGCCATTTAAATATTGTACATTGCGATTCTTATTTACGAGATTTAAAACACCAATATCGCGATTTGTATTTACGAGCTTTTAAAACCCTATGTAGCTACGCGAGCTTAAAATCCAATATCGTGATTCGTTTTTGCCGTTGTAATATCTCGCGATTTTAAAATTATGCATCTTGATCTAAAAATTACGCATCATGTTTTGTATGTTCGCATTTTTTAAATTCGATGTAGAGTTTCATATTCACGTGATTTAAAAGCCTCTTATCGGGATTTATAATCACATGGTTTACAAGTTTAAAAATCGCACTTTTTTTGTCAAATTTTTGTTTATATATATATTCTTGGATTTCCTCTTTTTTACTTTCTGACTACTCTCATCCCTGTTATAACAGTAATTGTATTTCCTGCATAACATTGTAACTATCAATATGGTTGATAAAGAATTACGCATTTGTTTTTTTTAATTTATTAAGTTACTGATCAATACTAATTTTAAGCTATTTATGTATTTGTCAACTAAGTTAATTTATTTTCATTACAGGTAGAATCAAGAAATCAGGTTGAAACTGGTAAGCTTATTCATTAATTTCTCTATTAATAATGCCTTATATTATTAATTTTTTTTCTTTCTGAATTATGAGTATTCACCTTTACTCACACCTTATTTTTAATAAAAAAAATCAACAAATTGTACTATTAAAACCACTAAGAGATATTTAATATAGGGGGATTACATGATTGGAACTGACAGAAATATATAAACAAAAAGAGTAATTTTTAAAAAATAATAATAATAAAGTTATAATTTATTATTTACTTATTAAAATGTTATTAATCATGTATATTCAAAATATGGAAGTAATTAAAGGAAACTTCAAAAAATTGAGATTGAGAAAAAAGAGCTCCTAAAAATATTCTTGATAATGTATATAAGGACCAACCTATTTACAGGGTAATTTCAGTATCCTGATCTGTGGCAGAATAATCACCAAGTCTTGGCAACTTCCGGGCAGCAGCTGGCGAGAAACTAAATTGAAAAAACATACAGAAAAAGGACCAATTCTAAAGGGAAGATATTTCCGTATCGTGAGCTGTGCTCCAATTGTAATCGCCAAGGTGCCAATTAGATTTTAAACTTGCTAATTTAAAATTTTTTTTTCGATGTTTGCCCAGGGGTGGCTACGAGTTATACCTTTCGAGTTAGTCCCTTTCTGTGATGTTTTTTTAGTTTCTCGCTGGAATATTTTTTTTAGTTTCTCTCAGAATTCATGCTCAAATAGAAATTTAATTTAGAATTCAGACACAAATTGTAAATTTAATTTCATAAATATTGAGTGAAAAAATTACAATTTTAAAGGGTCCATGTCCCTTAATTTACAAAATTTAAAGACGCTGAAGCCTCTTCTGCCTGGTTTCAGTGTCCCTGTCATAGATCCATGGGGGTGGTTAGTATTGATGTAGATTAATAGGAAAAATGATTGGTATTTATGGAATCTGGCAACAAATCAGTGCTACTTCAACTTCTAGATATGAAGCCCATTTTATGTTTATTTTATATAAGATAATTGTTCTGTTTTTCTTTTATAGTGTACTGAATAAACAGTTAATACGAATATCTATGTTTGATTTTAAAATTCCATTAATATGAATCTCTATGTTTATATTTTAAAATCCCATTAATACGAATCTATTATGTTCGATTTTTAAATTCCCATTAATACGAATCTATTATGTTTGATTTTAAAATTCCATTAATATGAATCTCTGTTTGATTTTAAAATCCCATTAATACAAATCTCTGATTTTAAAATCCCATTAATACAAATCTCTGATTTTAAAATCCCATCAATGCAAATCTCTGTTTGATTTTAAAATCCCATCAATACGAATCTCTATAATTGATTTTTAAAATCCCGTAAGTGCGAGTCTCCATAATTGATTTTTAAAATCACGTGGGCAGGAATCTCTATAATTGATTTTTAAAATCACGTGGCAGGAATCTCTATAATTGTATTTTAAAATCCCGTAAATACAAATCTTTCATTTTTATAATCTCTTTTATACGGATCACTATTTGATTTGAAAATCGCTTGAATACAAATTCCAGTGTGGTTTTAATTGTAATTTTAAATCTGATTCACATAGGTAGGAAAGAATGCAAAAACGAATTTTTATCATAAAGGATAAGCTTTGAACCGGCAGATTTTTTTTTTAAAACTGAAAAAAAAAAAAAAAAAAACTCATCTCTGATATCAGCATGCCTGAATGTCTGCATGAAAAATTCTCATATCAATCTCTGGCAAAGTGATCTGCATCATGTTAGGATAGAAGAATCATGACCGTTTTTCTTTTTAGTAATATTAGAAAATTTTCTGCAACGCTAAATTTCCCCCAAATAACTTTTGCAAATTTGTGTTTATTATACATATCTAGGGACCAACTTTAACATTGAAACTTGCGACCACCTTAGGTGAACTACTACATAATGATTATTTAAAATTTTTGCATCTTAAAAAACACTTTGGCGCCTTGCCGAAAGTAGTTGATGTATGAAGATACAAATTCAAGATTTTCTTTTATTGCAAGAATTTAGTCAGCTAAACAAAAAAAAAAAAAAAATGATTCCAANTTGCAAGAATTTAGTCAGCTAAAAAAAAAAAAAAAAAAAATGATTCCAAACTTTTTGAGATGTTTAGGCTAAAAATTCGGATTTTAACTCTATGGTTAATCTTAACGGTGAATTAGTGGCAACTTGTTAAATGTATACCCATAAGCAGAATATTTTCAAATGTTCTGCAACGGGACTCATTAATTTATACATATGTTCTGCAAGCATTTCACAGCGAAAAAAGTCAACTTTACGTGAAAATACTATATTTTCATCTATTAAAATACAGCACCATACACAGATACACTACATTATTTTTTAAACCAAGGCAAACGTTCTTGATTTGTTACTTCTTCAATCACTTTTGAAGTACAAAATTTTGTTAATGACGATGATGATGATGAATTATGTATTAATAAAATGCCTATGATATGAAGGTCCGGACATAAAAGTAAGAGACAGGGGGACGGGGAAGGGGGGGGTTCGCAGGACTTTGATTGTTCTACGACGTACGTCACAGTTTTAAGCACTTTCCGCTTCTGGGAATGTATATAACTAAAAATTTCATTCTTAGAAATGTTTAATCTTTTTTTTTTCTTTCAATAGGATACTAAAGATCATGAAATGTTGTAGATTTTCAAAAAAATATTTGTTTTTCTTTGCAGTTTACTATTCAGTTATATTCCACAACATTGGAAGTATAATGTTTTATCACTTATAGGTATGTGTTCATTGAATTTTTCTGTTTATATAATGCTTTTGTGTTGAATTACAGTCAATGGAGAGAAATTTCTGTATTGTGATCTGTTCTGCCAACTACTATAGCCAAGGTACCAACTAAATTTTAAACTCTGAAGAAGAAAAAAGAGCATTTTAACGTTTGCCAATAGGTGGCTATGAGTTGGTCCACTTTTGTGATGTTATTGTTAGTTTATCACAAACCCCTACCTTGAAGTCACCAAGACATGGTGATTATTTTGGCATAGATCAAGATACAAAAATCTTCCCATCAATCACTGTAATGTATATATTTTCTGTGGGAAAAAAAAAACTTTCTTTTTGTTCATCAGAATCTTAACAGATTTTAAAAATTTAGGAGATTAATATACCAAGTATACCAAAGTAAGTGTTGCACAGAAATATGTCTTGCAAAGTAATTGTGCCTCACTGTTCACATTTAATGAATTGGACCAAAATGGCATTAAGCAGTCATTTGACACATTTTATAAGTGTGCAAAAATTTTTACAAAGTCTTAAAAGTTCAAAATGTTTAGCCAAAATTAGAGTATATAGGTAGAATTTTGAATTAAAAAAAAATTAACAGAATAGAGCAAGCTAGAAAGGTAAAACATTTATCCTCCTTCAGGCAAGTCGCTGTTGTATTTTTTTTTATTTATTCCAAGTACAGGCATAAGTTTAATTAGCCCCAAATTTTAAAATTATTTTAATCTGATATAATAAAAAAAAATCTAAAACAATGAACAGAACAGATTTTTTTCATTAAAAACATCTTTGAATTAAAACTCAATAATCTTGTCCGCTGGTGTTCTTTTTAAACACCATTATTGTTCTACTTCTAATATTCATAGTTTATTCTTCTCCCTTTATAATGACCCTTTTGGCATGATTAGTAAGAAGAAATGAAAGAAAAAAATTGTTTTTTTGCTAATAATTTTTTTGTCTGACAATTCACAAGCTTATACTATATATAATTATTAGAACATACTCTATTGTAACATGTCAAAAAATCACATTGCATTTATTTAATGACTAATAATTAAAAAAAACATTAAGCATAAAAAGTATCTAATTTTATCCCAAAATGTATGCTTGGAACTAATTGGATTATAAATTTTGAGTTCATAACATGTTATAAGTTGTTTGCTGCTATAAAACGAAGATAAATTAAAATATTAAAAACTTTTAGGACTCAGAAAACATCTTTTTAAAAATTATACAATATTCATCAAACAATTAAAATTTTAAAAAATTATATTGTGCATAAATTAAATGAAATAACTAAAAACTTCAATTATAAGCAATTATGCTTTAATTTTGTTTCATTTGAAAAGGCCTGGTTCAAATTGTAAGGCATTCAAAAAATATATGTATATATACTTTTTTTAATACATAAAAGTGATGATCCTAAAATTTTTTTATTAAATTATTTGAAATTCTTAATTTTTTTTCGCTACATTTTACCTTTAATTTTATTTTTAACTGAACTTTGAGATTTTGACTGATTGAAATTTAGCTAATTTGATGTTTAAAAAATTCTATTGAAAAGTTATTCGAAGGTATCTGCCCCCTTTAACACTACGAGTACAAGAAATAGATGGAACAATTTATAACAGAGGTAGTTTTCCTTGGACCAAAGTAAACTACTCCAAATTTTAAGCAACTCTGTGAATGAGTTTTCCATTCAGTCTATGTAGTAAAAACCTTTTGCATCAGGTACTATCTGTTGTGGTGACTTTTAAAGTTTTCCGGAAATTTGTTAGACTTTGATTTTTTTTTTTAGAACTTTTTTCAGTTTAAGTTGAATGTAAATTTCTACAGTATATATATTTAAAAAAAGGGTTAAGGTAGGGAAATAATAAAAGGCTTTTCTTACTTAGATAACGAATAAAACTCGTAGATAACTATTCAATTGACAAAATATAAGAATTTTTATGTACTTGGTAAAGCTATAAATGTTTGAGCTATTCATATAAAATATTTTTTGGTATTACATTTGTGCAAGAATTTCTCCGCACCTAATATTTTTATCTGACTTTTTTTATTTACTGGCATGGGAATGTCACCTAAATCTTTAGGCAAAGTATATATTTTGTAAAAACTTAAAAAAATATCTTTTGTTATGTTTTGAAAATATTGAACATTCTTATCTTAAATTATTGCTTATAATATTAAAATTGATAACCTTTCAATCTTTTTCAAATTAATGACGATTTGCTAGTTTTGTTTTGAGTTACGTATTAACCAAGAATCGGGCAAAAACTTTTCATTCCTAACTCTCACAAATGTGCCAAATTAAGATTTTCGTGGCCAGATCTAACCATCAGGGATGCTACGCCTGCGCCATTTGCGACAAACTGAGACAAAACGGCATAACTGCGCCATTTTGCGACATTCAGCTCAGTTTCTGCCAAAGCTGAGCCATTCTGAGACAAAACGTCCAAAATTTGGCAAACCTGAATTCAGTTTCAAATATTAATCCGCATCGCCGTGAGTCATTGGAGATCATTTTGCCGTTCACGTCTCCACGGGATGAAAGACTTCCGCAAAAAAGCGGAAATCAGCTTTTTTCTCCCAATTTTTAAAATTTTCGACCATGTTCCAAAAACTAAAATTTTTAGGGAGTCCAATTAGAGAAACCCAAGCCGCCGGAACGATAGTCGCGTTTCGTTTCGACCACCGGTATTTGATTTTTTTTTCTTCGTTGGGCTGATTTTCGGAATTTTAAATATTAGGAACTGCGCTGGAATATGCTAAAATCGCGATTTTTAATCAGACGATTTTAATATCAATCATCGATTTTCGTATTTAACTGATTTAAAACTTATATGTTGCAATTTTTTTTACGCTGTTTAAAAATCGTACTAGCAATTCCTATTCACTCAATTTAAAAATTCAATATCGCGATCTGTATTCTCGCGAGTTTAAAATCCAACGTCGCGATTCGTATTCACGCATTTTTAAATCCAATATTGCGATTCGTTATCACGCAGTTGTAATATCAGATCTCGTTTTTCGTATTTGTACGCTATTTAAAAATTACTCATTGCGATTCGTATTCACGTGATCTAAAAATTATTCATCGTGATTCTTATTTACGCAATTTAAAAATTCAATATCGCTATTTGTATTTTCGCGTTTTTAAAATCCAACAG